ATGTTGTGCCTTCTGCAGTTTTTCCTTCATTCTCCGGGAGCAGCTACTGAACCAGAATGAGTTCACGTAATCAAAATGGGCTTGAATCAGAGCTCCTGCTGATCCTTTTCCATAATGAACATGGCTAAGAACCTCATTTTTCCACACATCTTCATCAAAACCGTTCTTGCATCATGATTATTTATTCTCTATTGAACATCCCAAATCATTTACAACATTTTCAACTCCATTTTCCAATCAATAATCCCGACTACAGAACTGTCATCTCTCTTTCATTTCACTCTTGAAGCAAATAAAACAGCCTCTGCTTCACCTGTGTGTAAAGAACGCTTATTGTCTAAAATCAGCTGTACACACTCTTTAACTGGGAACTCGTGATGTCTTCCAGAGCACTGTTGTCTTGATGAAACACTAGCTAACATAATTACATCATTAACTTCATGAGGCCACAAGAACATCAGGTCAAGTCAATGCAAGTAAATAATCTCCAACATGTGTTTACATCAGGACGTCTGTGTAGTCACTGCTGCAGCCCTCTTTTGAAGATTAGTGGGTCAGAACAACCCTCTGTTGAGATGGTAAAGATGAGCAGATCAGTCTTACTGTTCTGAGGCTGAAGATCCTCCATCTCCTGTCTTCAGTGCAGCATCTCCTCCAGCTTCAGCATATCTGACAACACCAGCAGCCTGCATCAGTCATGTTCACTCACATCTGAAGATTACAACAAGACATAGTCAACACACACTCACAGCTTAGCATCTACAGTGTGTGTGTGTGTGTGTGTGTGCGTGTTTTACACCTCTGACACTCTGAGCAGAAGATTAATGACAGACCACTCTCTCGGTCTGCAGAGAATGACAATTACACACACACAGCTCAGATTGATGTGCCATCATGTTGAAACACTTGCATTTGTGTTTAAGCAGAACAACACACACACACACACACACACACACACACACACATACACACACTTTCACACACATTAATTACCTAAATACTAATACTAACTGAATACTCCTGAAGGAAAGTGTCCTGATAATGTGTGTGTGTGTGTGTGTGTGTGTGTGTGTGTGTGTGTGTAGTGTCCTCTTATACTCTACTAGAGGATTTTGCTTTCATATGTCGGGAACTTCAACAGTTTCTCTTGATGATTTGCTTTATTTAACATGTTCATGTGTTTATTATTGATGATTCTCTATATTCATGCTGTCACTATGTTATGGAAGTTTTTTCCTAACAAAATTAAAATGAAAATTCAAATGCTTAAAAGATCAAATGATAAATCAAATGCTCAAAATATAAATCAAATGCTCCAACCGACATTGCAAATGATAAATCAAATGCTCAAATGGACTTTGCAAATGGTGAATCAAATGCTCAAACGACTCCGCAAATGGTGAATCAAATGCTCACGCCTGTTTCACACCGCAAGCGTCAGCGGCGCGTGAGCAGAGCGTGAGCAGCGCGTGTGTTTTCGGCGTCCATGTTAACAGATTAGAGCTTTCATACCGCACGCAGCAGCAGCGCGTCAGTGCGAGGCGTGAGCGTCGCCGAAGCAGCAGTGCAGCGATAGTTTCGGCGCTGGGTCTATTTTTGACGCGCTGCTCACGCTCAATTAAAGTGACAGTGCATTGATAATGACCAAAACACATTGAATGACAGTAAAAAGTAGCAATTTTACCCAATAAATGCGTTAATAATGTCAAATGGTTTATATATAGTCATTCAAATGAACTTAAAACGATTAAAAACGGCAACAAAACATTTATTTAGGCCCGAACTACAAAACCAAATGTAAAACTATTTTACTATCAGTTTTGCTTAAGTTGCACACTAGTGCGGTAGGAGAGGGGAAATGGAATATTTACGGGATTTGTAGTCCATAGCGAAGTGTATTGTGGGTAGTGTAGTGCGACACGCATGCTGGATTATGTGAGCTCGCTGTGTTCTGTGCAGCTAGCAGAGCAAGAAAGTTTTAATCGGCTTTGTTTTATGTTCACTCGAATTATTCCTACCGGGAGCTGTTTGCACTGTGAATCTGACAACACGAAAATGGCATGCATTAATTACTTTTGTCCGTCTCATCCTCTGCACGAGCATGAATTAACGAGCTGTTATTCTGCCGCTGGACATCACTGAAGCGGAGAAATTAACACTAGTTTGATCATGTATAAATATCATTATAACTATATTGTATAAATATGATTATAACTAGGTCTACAGCAACCTGATAATCAAAAAACAAATGACATGATATCACAGGCGATTGTCTTTGACTGTAGACACTTCTCATATAAGTTAGCTTTAGAAGCATACAGTACTATTTGATCTATAAAATTTGTAAAATAAACATTTGCAGGTTAATGAAACAGCATAGGTGGGGCCTTGGTGCAGATGAAACGTTTAAAAAGTGTATTTGTATATAGAGGGGTAACTAGATAGAATAGACAGAGATAGGTTGATCTCAGCAGCAGCTGCCGAAGAGCTGTGCGCTGCAGACGCAGCTGGTGTGAAAGGCAAACGCCTGCGTGCTGCTACTGCTCGACAAACGCGCTGCTCACGCTCTGCTCACGCGCCGCTGACGCTTGCGGTGTGAAACAGGCGTCAAACAGACATCGCAAATGGTGAATCAAATGCTCAAACAGACATCGCAAATGGTGAATCAAATGCTCAAACAGACATCGCAAATGATAAATCAAATGCAAATGAGGTGTCAATCAACCAGCATAGGCGGAGCTTTAAGGCGGAAGAGTTTGTTGTTGACAACAACCGGTAGCGCTACGACTTTTTCAAGGCGTTCAGATTTGCGTGCACTATTCCACGTCGTATCCATATAAACTCGTGAAAGAGAAAGCGAGAAATCTCCTACTGCTTCTGTCCACATTCTGAAGTGTTCATCAGATGGGTACATCTATCACAGGAGGCCACGAAAAACCATACGATAACCAAGATGATAAAAAAAAGTTACATAACTGACGTTAAGCGCAACTTTAAATAAATGGTAGGTTTATTAAATCTTAATTTAAAATAATATTTTATTACATAAGAAATCCTTGTCAAATGTAACCTAATTTGTTGTTACCTTTATTGTGTAACTTTTTTATTCACATGTAGAACATGCTTAAAGTTAGTTTTCCAGTCTTGATTATATAATCATATATTCTTATATCAAAAGAAAATCTATTACATTTGTTCTCTTTTTGCTGTTTATGTTAATTGTTAAGATACAGCAATGTTTCCCTAAGCCTGTATGAAATTTTTATTTCTGCATAATAATGATTAATAATACTTGTTATTGATAACACTCCCATAATAATACAAATAAAATAGCAGGGACAGAAGCACTAACACCTAATAGCATCAGTAACTTGATAACCCTCCCTGATAGACTTTCTAATGCTGGCACACTGGTACATATGCACAAAGATGTCGGCACGCTCACTGACACTCTCACTCGGAGAAATCTTCCCCTAGACACACACGCGTACTCACTCTCGCACACACACTCTCTCTCACTCTCTCTCACACATACTCACTGTCGCTCACACACACACACACACACACACACACACACACACACACACACACACACACACACACACACACACACACACACACACACACACACACACACCACAGCTATGCATGAATAGTCACTAGACAAATGTAGCCAAGGTGAGTACATCTTAATTTCCAGTCAAAAAATGAAATAATGTAGTTATACATTATTGAAATTATTAATGTATTCATCAACAATTAAAGAAAATATGGATGTATGATTAAAAGAATTAATAATAGTAACCATGATAAATAAATACAAGTCAACAAGATACGAAACTAAGCTTTATTCAAACTTATTCAAACAATCATGTATTTCAGACAAAACCCCATGTTCTGCTGCATGCTGGACTTCTGGACTTCACTTGTTTTTGCCATCACATCCCTCAGTGCTGCTGTCAGACTGGAACAGAGTTGTGAGGTGAGGCTGTCCATGCCTGAGAAACTGATTCATACTGAAGATGAAGAGACCACACCAGCATCTGGCTCAGATGAGGACACGCAGGCAGGTGGAGGGATGCAGGGTCTTGTCCATGGCACTACAGCATCTTCAACATTTCCTTCATCAGCACACTGCTGTTCTTCATCATCATCACTGCACACACCAGTCTGAGGACATTTCAGATTATGCAAAGCTCTTAATAAAGAAGTCATTTAACAGCACACTTTTTGAGTTTCATTTGAGTTCTGAATTGGAAGTAATAACATGATCTTACTTCATGTTTTGAATTCAGGTTTTCTCTGTTTTCTTGCCTTGCAAGTCCTGCTCCAGCCCAGAAATGGCATATAAATCAACATTAAAGAAATTGTTGTAATAGCGGTTTGAAACAACAATATTAAACAAATAAGATGGTAGCATTTGTTCAGTCACTCTGCATCAGCTAACACACAAACATGTGTGCTTCCTTCTCTATAACAACCAGACAAGTCATATTACCTCTGTGATTTGTGTGCTCAAATTATACTTTCATAAATGTATCACCAACTGAACAGAAGAAAACATTACTGTATTAATATTACATATATCTAACCTAAGCTGTATTGACAAAAGTGCATTCTACATCAACACAAACAAATCACTCAGACGTCTGTTTAATGTTATAATTTGCTAATCTGCAATACCTCCTATATTTTTCTGTCAGACATTGAATAATCGTCTTTATGTAAATTAACGTTTGAAACGTCATGTGCTTACAGAAGTTCCTACATGATAATTTACAGCAAGATAAAATAAATATACTGTAAAGCATCTTTACACTTTCAGTAATTCTACAGTTCACTGTACAGTAGCTCAACTATCGCTATTTTACTGTAACTTAACTCAAGGAACCGTCTTTCTGGATTTAATTACTTGCATGTAAGAAGTCTAAATCCATCCAGTTTTCCACAATGTGACGTAGCATCATCATCTTTCCGTATGGTTTTTCGTGGCCTCCTGTGATAGATGTACCCATCTGATGAACACTTCAGAATGTGGACAGAAGCAGTAGGAGATTTCTCGCTTTCTCTTTCACGAGTTTATATGGATACGACGTGGAATAGTGCATGCAAATCTGTACGCCTTGAAAAAGTCGTAGCGCTACCGGTTGTTGTCAACAACAAACTCTTCCGCCTTAAAGCTCCGCCTATGCCTATTGATTGACACCTCATTTGCATTTGATTTATCATTTGCGATGTCTGTTTGAGCATTTGATTCACCATTTGCGATGTCTGTTTGAGCATTTGATTCACCATTTGCAATGTCGATTTAAGGATTTGATTTATAGTTTGAGCATTTGATTCACCATTTGCAATGTCAGTTTGAGGATTTGATTTATCATTTGCAATGTCGGTTTGAGGATTTGATTTATCATTTGCGATGTCAGTTTGAGGATTTGATTTATATTTTGAGGAGTCGGTTTGAGGATTTGATTCACCATTTGCAAAGTCCGTTTGAACATTTGATTTATCATTTGCAGAGTCAGTTTGAGCATTTGATTTATCATTTGATCTTTTAAGCATTTGAATTTTCATTTTAATTTTGATAGGAAAAAACTTCCATACTATGTGGACACAGAGACTGTGGAGGTGAACTGATGATCATCTCGGTGCTCTTAGTTCTTTTTTAAAGTGATTTCAAGCACTGACAATGAAAACAAGAGTGTGTTGAGCTGCTGCGCCACCTGCTGGACAACATCAGCCCTGCAGTCTCTGATCTCACACACACACACACACACACACATCTTTATATTTATAATAATCTGATTAAAAAAATGGGCGGCACGGTGGCGCAGTGGGCAGCACAATCGCCTCACAGTAAGAAGATCTCTGGTTTGAGTCTCGGCTGGGTCAGTTGGTGTTTCTGTGTGGAGTTTGCATGTTCTCCCCGTGTTGGTGTGGGTTTCCTCCGGGTGCTCCGGTTTCCCCCACAGTCCAAACACATGCGCTATAGGGGAACTGATCAACTACACTGACCGTAGTGTATGTGTGTGTGTGAATGAATGTGTATGGGTGTTTCCCAGAACTGGGTTGCAGCTAAAAGGGCATCTGCTGGGTAAAACTTGTCTGGAATAGTTGTCGGTTCATTCCACTGTGGCAAGCCCTGATGAATAAAAGCACTAAATTGAAGGAGAATGAGTGAATGTAAATGTGCTCTCTTTAGCTCAAAAACACTTCAGTAAATGATTGTCCTGCTCTATAAACTGAACTCTGCACACACACTGATCAGCATACATTATAATTATATATATATATAATGGTGTATAGTTGTATATTAATTATATTTTATTAATTATATTTATATTTTAAATTATAATAATAATATAATAAATACATATAATATATTATATATATATGTTATAATAATACTATAATTAGAATATTAAAATTTACTATATATTTTTTATTTTAATTATATTTTATCATTTATATTAAATTATTAATTATTATTAAATTTTATTAATTTTATTATATATAATTATTATAGATATTAATTATTATAATATTACATGTATTATATTTTAGCGCAAATATGATTATTAGCCAAAATCAACATCAGTGTGGCTGAGTGTAATACATTAAAGCTTTATGAAGAAGATAAACACCATTAGTTACTACATTAAGTGTGCTTTTAGCCTTTAATACATATCTTACTGCCCCCACAAACATTAAAAAAAGTCCATTAAATAATAAACTTCACTGATTTACTCTTTAGGGACTATTAAGAGTTGCTGATTTGATATTGCATTAATGTCTGCTATTATATTTTCTGCTTCTGCAGTGTTTTTATCATTGTTTTAATCCAGTTATACTTTAATTTAAGTTATCTCACATAGTCATTTAGGCTTTTCAGTCATTTAATTTACCCTCAATTATTATAAGCAACAAAAGCTGTTTTAATTTAATCCAAAATAATTTTTTTAATCAGAAATACTCCATATAGTGAAGGATTTCCCCTGTATTCTTGTCCTGTTCAACTATTAAAATATTATTAAATCAACATTCATTTACTTGAGGGTTGTAGTTTTTATAGGGGTTATAGTTAATTCAGTAATCAGACAGAAAAGTGCCTTGTTTGATGGTTTAAGTGATCCAAATAGGTGATGATAATGCACTATATTGTGTTTTACTGTGCTGAGCATGATGATGAAGAGTGCTGGCTGATGTTTAATATTCATGCTCATTATGTAAATCAGTGATCTCCTCCCCCTGATCTGAAGCCATTTTCCAGCAGAACAGAAGAGGAGAGCAGCAGAATCCGTGAGTTTACAGCTTCATCTCTCTCTTTATTCTTTATCTGTTGAATAAGCAGCGCTCGCTCATTATTACCGCTGACCGACTGCGCGCCCCGCTTCATGACGTCACGCGTGCGTCTAATGATGCTTTATATTAGCTTTATGACATCATCATCATGTTTAGTCCAGTAATAAGCATGTTCGGGGAGAGTTATTCACTGTGAACATCATCATCATCATCATCATCATCAGTGTTGCGTTACTGCCGTTTCCACGGTGAGCGTCAACACACACGCGCGCAGATACACACCACAGAGAGAAAGATACATTTAAATAAAAAAACATTATTACGATAATATCATTTGCGCACATTACTGCAGAAAATCCGTTAAAGATATGAGGAATATTAAATCTACAGTAGATGTCCATGTGTAGAGGGGCCGTCAGGTGACCGGAGTGACGTCATGCCGTAAAGCGAAGAGATCACGCGCATCGACAAAAGCGGGATTTTGTGAGTGTGTGTGTGTGTTGGGGGGTGGGGGGGCACGTGATGTTTTTCATGTTTTGTCATGCACAAATAATGACTTTTATCTTATAACACTAACTCCTTTTATGTTCCGTTTTGTTGCTTATTAAATAAATTATTAACTACTGTGTATGTCTACCGAGAATTATGTACAATCACCGGCCAGTTTATTAGGTACACCTGTCCAACTACTCGTTAATGCATATTTGTAATCAGCCAATCACATGGCAGCAGCTCACTACATTTAGGCATGTAGAAATGGTGAAGAGGATCTGCTGCAGTTCAGAGTGAGCATCAGAATGGAGAAGGGGATTTAAGAGACTTTGAATGAAAATATGGAATAGAATAGCTTATAATAAATTCAAAATATTAAGAATAGTCAAAACTGTGAAAATAAAATTAAAATTTAAGAACAAAAAGTCCAGATATTATGAATAAGTTTGAGTAAAGTTGAAATATTATGAATTGTCAGCTTGTTTTGATGTGCTGTGGGGTTGCTAGGCAGTAACTAAGGTGGCAGCAGTAAACAGAAACAGAAGCTGAAGCTCATGGAGGTTTCCTCACGGGTTTGTTCCACTGGCACAGTTCCTCTCGGACATCCCTGCATTGTTCATGTGGCTTGGAGAAATTTCAGAGAAGTTTACAGAGACAAGCGGAGGAGACACAGATTACTGGCAGCCCATAGAGACGAGGTCAGTGAACTCTCCGAATGCTCCGACACAGAGGAAATATCCAGTGAGCGGCAGTTCTGTGGGCGCAAATGCCTTGATGATGAGGCCAGAGGAGAATAGCCAGACTGGTTCCAGCTAATAGAAAGGCGGCAGTAACTCAAATAAGCACTCGTTACAACCGAGCTCTGCAGAAGAGCATCTCTGAACACACAACACGGCCAACCTTGAGGCGGATGGGCTACAGCAGCAGAAGAGCACACCGGGTGCCGCTCCTGTCAGCTAAGAACAGGAAACTGAGGCTACAATTCACACAGACTCACCAAAACTGGACAATAGAAGATTGGAGAAACGTTGCTGCTCTGATGAGTCTCCATTTCTGCTGACACATTCGGATGCTCGGCTCAGACAGCATGAAAGCATGGATCATCCTGCCTTGTATCAGCGGTTCAGGCTGGTGGTGGTGGTGTAATGGTGTGGGGGAGATTTTCTTGGCACTCTTTGGCTCCATTAGTACCAATTGAGCATCAACACCACAGCCTACCTGAGTATTGCTGCTGACCATGTCCATCCCTTTATGAGCACAGTGTCTCCATCTTCTGATGGCTACTTCCAGCAGGATAACGCAGCATGTCATAAAGCTCAATCATCTCAGACTGCTGTCTTGAACATGACGATGAGTTCACTGTACTCAAATGGCCTCCACAGTCACCAGAGCTCAATCCAATAGAGCAGCTTTGGGATGTGGTGGAACGGGAGATTGGCATCATGGATGTGCAGCCGACAAATCTGCAGCAACTGTGTGATGCTATCATGACAATATGGAGCAAAATCTCTGAGCAATATCTCCAGTAGCTTGTTGAATCTACAACACCAGGGGTTAAGGCAGATCTGAAGGCTAAAGTGATCCAACCCGGTACTAGACAGGTGTACCTAATAAAGTGGCCAGTGAGTGTATATAGGCCCAGCCCAGACCTTTTTCAAGATCTTTTATACTTTTCAAATGTCCAAAATAAATTATATATATATTGTTATTTTAGACATTTTAAAAGTATAAAAGATCTTGGATCAACCAATAAAAGATCAACCTAAAAGTTGATAAAGTGTGACAAAAAGTCAAGAGTATTTTGGAAAGAAACACACACACACACACACGCACGCATGCATGCATACCTGTGTGTGTGTTTCTATCCAAAATACTCTTGACTTTTTGTCTCACTTTATAAATTATAGGTGTACAGTTCAATAACAATACTTATTTTTCATGCAATTTTCTCAAAATAAGCTTTTTCCTCTGCACTGAGCTGTACATCTCTCATTTATTGATTTTCCCTCAGCTCAGTTCCTTATTTATCAGGGCTCACCACAGTGGAATGAACCGCTGCTGTGCATTTCTTTATATTTATCAATTCTCAAGGCTAAAAACAGATAGACTCTTAAAAGAGACTCTGTTCATGAAGAACTGCAAAACAAGAGTAGCAGCGATTACTGAATTATAGACAGAGATAAAAATCACAAAACACACACACACA